TCAATTTTCATTTCTCTTAATGTCCACTGGAGAAGCTTCATTTCTTACCCACCATTTTGCCCATTCCAGAAAAAAGAAAAATGAATAAATAAATAAAACTTTTTGATGCTCAATTTCAGTAACAATAGTCTGTAATGTCACCCTCCAGGAATGCTTGCATTTGAAAGGAAGACACCCAAAGACTTAAAAGTTAACCAAAATGGTTTGCCAAATATAAATGGCAGCATATTCAGCCTCAGTGCTAGAGATGTTCCTGGACAAGAATTTCTTGTTCTCATTCCCTTCAGCAACCATACCACATTGACCTGAGCTTAAGACCCATCTTGTAGCAAGAGAAAATGGAGCAACTGGGAAAGAGAAGATGATTGCACCATCTCAAATTGTAGGTGGCAGTAGGTCTCAATAATAAATATTTTACCCACTCTGCATGTTTCCTATCTTCATAATATATTAAGTTTTATTTTCTGGATATGAAAACTATTAGAGTTTTAATCTTCAGTTCTCTATATTCTTCTGGAACTTTCCTACAACTGTTTACACAAGTTAAACACAGAAATTTTTAGTTTAACCCCACAGGATGGCTGTTTCCTGAGCAATTGGAAACTTTCCTATTTACTTACACATACCTTCCAAATAGACATAGAGTGGCGCCCGATTAACAAATGGCCATGAAGTAAGCCTCCTAGGTTTTAATTTTCCCTACACTAAGTTTCCTGTGGTCGTTTGTATTCCTATGGTCTGGCACACAGTAGCCACACATTAAAGATATTTGTTGAATGAAGTCTTTTTATAATTTTTAAATAATAAATTCAGGTTATAAATCTGGAAAATAATTACTGTCTGTACTATTTCATGGTGCTGCCCCAATGGCTGTTTTGCTCTCAATATAAACTTTTCCTACTTCCTTTCCTGTCAGTGGGTGGTTGTCCATGGTCATTTTGTCAGTAGCTAAGTGCCACATGATATCAGGTGGTTTTATTTTTATTAATTGTGTATGTGTCCCTAGGGACATTGTTCCTCTATTCCAATTTACTGTTTCTAATCCAGCTTGTGTCTCTAGAACTCAGATGATGGATTCATCCAAACTGACAGAAGAATTTGTGTCATTGGAACCTATGCCTGACACATGGGTTATATATGCTGAGTCCTTTTCTGCTTTCTTCCTGATAGGCAAGATGTTGCTACGTGGAAACACTTCAGGGTACAGTAATATAATTACCTGAAAGCTTATGTGCAGAAAGCTTATTTTGAGAAAATGGATACCAACCTGATTCTGTCACTGCTGTTCTTTTCAGCAGAGGAATTGCTTGTAACCCATAATATAAGGCTCTAGATACACATTTCCATTAATATCATATAAAGGATTTTTTGGTCAAGTTACAAAAAAAATACTCGATATTAACTTATTACTTTTCTAAATGTAGATGGGCAAAGAATGAGTAACTAATGATGTTCCTCTGTCATGTCACACAGCAGAGAATATGTCTATGTGTATTAATCACTTATTCACTTAACTAGGCAAGAAAATATACAGTGGTATTTAACATTTATGCATCTAAATACACCTTTGTGTGAAATGGGTAAAAATAAATACTGCAGAATCTGGCAGTTTGACAGCTGTGTTTTCTAGTAGGTAAATACTAAGAAAATAAGGTTTTACAATTTCTAAATATCATTTTTTTAAAAAAGTAATGCAATATTCCTTAAAGACAAAAATGAATAATTTTGTACCTTGATAATTTTTGAATAAGTTTTTAAAAAGTTTTAAAAAACTGGCAGTTTGACAGCTGTGTTTTCTAGTAGGTAAATATAAAGAAAATAAGGTTTTACAATTTCTAAATATCAATTTTTTAAAAAAATGTAATGCAATATTCCTTAAAGACAAAAAACAATGATTTTTGTGCTAATAAGGCACAAAAATCATTGTTTTTTGTCTTTAAGGAATATTATATTACATTTTTTATAAATGATATTTAGAGTTCTTATACATTTTGCCTTAAAGTACCAAATCCTTTTGAAAGCACCTTTGGAGCAGATGAGACCACACAAGTTAATTACAGCACAGTCAAGAAAGAAATATTTGTTGAAATAACTAAATGAACTATGGTGTCACATCCAATCATACAAATATCTTAGAATAGATAGAAAATAGGAATAGAAGAGGAAACCATAGAGAAAAAGATACCTTTAACATCAGATCATATAGTGGGTGGTTGGGACTGAAACATTTGTGAATGGTAAATTCTGAACTTAGCAACTGACTTTTGCTCAAAAATTAGCCTCTGATTCAGAGTCAACCCCTGGAATACTATGAGCAGAAACTCTTTGTCCTCTCGTGCATTATTAAGATGAAAATCATATACCTATACCTCAGTTTTCTTTTTCATTTGAAAAATGAAGATATTAAACTAGACATTCTCCAAAATCTACTGCAACCCAGAGTCTGAACTTTCAGGAGGCACTTTAAGCACATTGGGGGCAAAACAATGTTCTAAGATTAACTTAAAAAACAAACAAACAAATACTGTGCATGTTCTAGTTTCCCAGCCAAGTATCTGGTTTTATTCTTAATAAAAGAAAAAAAAATTGTGTATCATACTTCATTTCATTTTATATAATGGTCTAAGTGTCTATATCTAAAGAGCAATAATGATAATAATGTCTAAATTTTTAACATTATTGATATCTAAATATTATTACCACTGTGGAAATTGACCATCTGTTTGTACTCTGATATTTGCAATATAAACTAGAACACATATATATTTATTTTACTAAGAGGCATTGAAAATGTTCTTCTGATATTTTTCCACTAGGCTTGTGGTTGAAAAGTTCAGGATGTGGTTGCTACATTCTTATATGTCTAGTATGTCTTTACCAAAAAAAAAAAAAAAAGGGGGAGGAGAAGGAGGAGGAGGAGAAGGAGGAGGAGGAGGAGGAGGAGGAGGAGGAGGAGGAGGAGGAGGAGGAGGAGGAGGAGGAGGAGGAGGAGGAGGAGAAAAGAAAAAGACCCAAGGTTTTCAAAGATCCTTTCAATGTGAAACTGTAACTTACATCAAAGATTAGTTGGATTGGAAGTAGAAGCAAATGGGAAGGATACCTCTCTTAATATCAGGCATCTGCTAAAATGACATCTGATTCCCAAATCAAACCCACATGCGTCTGGTTGCTCATTCCTGAAACAGTACAGACAATCCTGGGGTGTCCCTACTGTGACTGGAAGGGTCATCTGTCATCCCAGCTGGCTGGTTCCAAGTGCAAGTTCATCACAAGATAGTCCCTATAAATAGAACCTGCTGGAAGGGCCTAACAGGGAGACCCAGTCTATAAATGCCAGGGCTCCTCCAGGAGATAGAAACCCAGCCAGAGGGGGCTGGGAACTTCTATTCCACTTGAAATGCAAAGCTGGACCATCACTGCCCACTGCCAAGAGGGACAGGGATGTTTGGACAAGACAATGGTGTACAGAAAGAAGGAGGAGGAGGAACAAGTGAGGGGTGGAAGAAGACAGGAGGAGGAAGAAAGTAGATAACTTTGGGAGAGATTGTTACAAACTTGTTTCTCTGGCCACAAATCTGAATTTTATAGACTTAGGGAGAAAAACAAGCTCTGACTGTCTCCTTTAACAAGACCTAATAGGAGTGTAAGCTGTAGTACAGGAACCAGAAGAGGCCATGTTACTGTGGAGGGGGCAGACTGCGTTTTGGGCTCCACTCAGAATAAGTTAACAAGACTTTAGTCGAAAGTGACTCCCTAGAACAAAGACTCTAAGCAGAGACTCTACAGCTTTGTGGCATATTGCTTAAATGAAAAAAAAAAATGTTTGTAGATGTCATTTTTGGCTTCCCTTCTGTTGGATGGGGTCCAAGTGGCTACTACTGTCCTGCCTTCTTGCTTTCCTTCCAGCCACGCTCCTTCTTGCACCTGCCTGTGCTCTGAAAAAGTATAGCCTGCAGGGGTTGTATGTTGGAGCTAGACCACTATTAGAGCTCAATTCTCAAATTTAGTCCAAACTTGAATGTTGCTTAATAATATTTGATACTTGCTGTGCCCAGATTGTGCAGAACTTCAGGCATAATCCAGAAGTTCAAGAAGGTTAACTACCCCCTTTTCACCCTCCTCTCCTTGCCTAGTGGACTCATGTCTTTAGGAGCTCAGAAATAGCTTGTTCTAAGTGGAGATAAATTTGGTATTTATGGGTACCCTTGCATTCTACTATCAATTCTCCAAATTAGGACCCTTGGTATCTTAATTTGTGCTTTCCCCCCAAATTAGTAAATCCATGAATGGAAATTTTAGCTGGGAAAGGGGTGATGGTGACTCAGCAAGTGTCTAGGGACTGGAGGTTGGTCACAGCTGATGGGGAAGAGGTGGAATTATGCATGTAGGAGCACATGGACATGGATGGAGGGCCATGTTTATCTTTCTTTTTCACAGAGAGTTTTTTTTTTTGCCAGAAGAGCTACTCAGTTTGAGTAAATATGAAACCAACCACTTGACTTTGGTGCTAATACCCTGTAGTAGCCTCTGAAACATAAAGACTGTTCCCCTGTCCTTAGCACCTGCTTCACCATGAGTCAACCATACTTAAATAGACTCTCAGCAGGCTGAGCTGGCTGCCATCAGACAGTGTCACCCTGTCTTCTGTGCCCTAAAAAAGTTGAACCAGCTCAAGCAAGGGACTGCTGTGAGGGTTGAATAGGAGAAAAGGCAAAAAACAAACAAAAGCAAGTAAACTCACATACACAAAACACACCCGTAATCCTGCCTTCTGGGTTGTTCAATGCTTTGACTCACTTCAACAAAACTGGGAACTTGAAGTTTACTAAAACTTTCAGAACACTGAAGGCACTGTTCTGAGAATTAAAGGACATGGATGAGAAGGAAGTGTCCTGAATCACTGTGGGGTGTGTGTGTGTGTGAATGCACACATGTGTTCACCAAGATGAACACTTCATGTCGGGAGCAGCTTTTGTCTGTGTCAGTTCCCACTGCCCCACCTCATTTATTTCATCTCTTGTGGTGCAGTACTCCAAACTGCGACACAGGGCCCGGTCGTGCTCCTCAGATTTGGCACGCCACTTCATACTGTCCACCTCGAGGACCTCCAGCTGCTGCTGCACATTCTTTGCAGAAACATTAGAGCAATTCTAAAAATGAAAAGCACTTGAAAGTGACAAATGAACAGTGAAATGGCCACAAGACAAATATGCAATTTACCTGCATTATGAAACCCAGAAGCAACACTTCCCCAAAAAATAAGATATAGGATCCTAATTTATTTTACCTTAAATACATCTGAATATTATTAGTTCAGAAGGAAGCTAGACACTCAACACTCCAGGAAAGACATTTCCAGTCTTGAATCTCAAGTTTGGAAGATTTGCTCATCATGCCCAACTCCTGGGAGACACCATTCATTATAAGGTATAATTTTTACTTCAAAAGGCATAAAATATGCATTAGAAACATTCCGCTCCTGCACTATAATTTTCGCGTCAACTTGAGTTTAACCTCAGGTTCATTATGCAAGTGCTCCAATCTTTACCTAGCACAGAGGAGCCGCTGGGGTGAGGGCCAGAAAAGGGCTGGAGAACAATTTACATTATGCCAAGTGAGACTTCTTACTTTCTCCTTTTTAAAGTTCATTTACTTAATAAAACTCTTTTAGAAAGAAAGCTCTTTCCTGACAAAAGTAGGTGGCTGTCAGCTTAGAAAGATATACTATAGTTCCCCCGTGTTATGTATACATTGGTGGATTATTTTAAATGAACTTTAAAATTAAATTGGCCATTCTGACATTATTAATGCAATACATTTTAGTGGAATAACCATTATCTTTTCTTCCTTTGAATTAAAAATTTGGAGAAGGATTTTTTTTTTAAATCAGAGCCTTCTGTATTATTTATGAAAATTTGATTTGGAAATACTTTCTTTTCTTTTAGGCTCCTCTGTTGAAATCTGATCAGTGGGAAAAAAATAGATCAACACCTAGTGCCCACAGCCCTGGCTAGACATGGGGCTTGGGCTCTTCCATTTTGAACTTATATGGATAAGCATTTCTGGACTTTAAATTCTTCCTCTATAAAATTAGGATACTCTTCTAAATAAACACTAGGATCTACGATCTTCCAAATCTGCAATGCCAAGGTAGCACTGTCCAAATATAATAGGAGCCATAAAAATAATTTAAAATGTTTCAGTAGTCAAAATAAAAAGTAAAAAAGAAGTGAAATTAATTTTCATAAATAGTTTATAAATATTTCCAAGCATTGTTTTATAATAAGTAACCAATAGAAAAAATTAATAACAATTTTCATATTAAGTCTTTGAAATTTGGTATAATTTCTTACTTCAAGCATATTTCAATTATTGCTAAGTTTCTATCAGAAATATTTGATCTACACTTAAATTTCATAAAATTTAATTTCAAAAGCAGATTCATAAACCAAGTTCTTCCAAACATACTTAAAAGTTTCCTGATAACTAAATTAATTCAGATTAAATACAATTAAAAGTTTTGCTTCTTAGTTGCATTAGGCACATTTCAAATGTGAAACCTAACTGCTGTGTGGGACCACACAGCTCTAACATACTCTCTTTGATATCAACATGAGAATAGATGTGCTCAATAAGATTTTTATTTTATATTTTTTAGTTGTAGATGGACACAATATGTTTATTTTGTTTACTTATTTTTATATGGTGCTGAGGATCGAACCCAGTGCTTCACACATACTAGGCAAGCGCTCTACCTCTGAGCTACAACCCTAGCCCCACAATAAGATTTTTATATTTGAATATTCTCCTTAAAATTTTTTTCTTTTGACATAGATGGTAGAAACTCACCACAAGTAACTACCCCAATGGTTGAATATATTTTCAAATGAAATATATGCTAAGCAGCCGGCCTGGCTTCCTTCTCATTAGGTAGAATGGAGTCCTAAGATGCTTACAGGGTGCTGTGCTGATGAGATAATGTCCACTCCTAAGGAAAAGGCCAGTTGATAGAGCTGCTCCACATGTGCCTTTTGATCCTGAGAGCGACTGAGGTGTATCTGGGCCTCAGGAGCATCACCCAGTTCCTCCAGCTGCTCCAGAAACACCAGTTCTCTTGATTTGATGAGATGTCCCAGCTGGAATTTAGGCCATTAACAATTAACCTGAGTTTCATAGCCAGATTTTTAAGTCTATTTTGTATAACATATTATACTAGCTTGGTGAAATGCTGCCAAGCCCACCCGTAATTATTAGTTATATGGCCAAATACATGTTATAGTGCTTCAAATCCAACTGGCTAACACTGAGCAGCTAACACTGTAACACTGTGAGTTCTATGAAAGAGGGAAATGCCCTTTTGGTCCTTTACTAAAACCTTAGCAAGGTGTAGGCCTGTGATCTGAGTAAACTCAGAGGCTATATTAAAGGAATATCAATGCACCTCTATTTCATGTAAATGGAGGCTAATAACTTCAAAGTTCTTGTGAAGAGAGCAACCAAAAAATAATATTTACTGAGAACTCCACAATGCCAGATACTTGAGATAAATAAATATTGAACTTGGTTCCTGCCCTCAACTCGCTTATCCTTGAGTTGGGAAAAATGCTGCTCTTAGTAAAATGTAATGTAATTAAGAATCAAGACACTAAGAATGACAGATGTATGGAATAAAGAGAGCACTAGAGATTTAGAATATATATATATATAGAGAGAGAGGGAGGTCGCTCCAAGTAAGGTGGGATTGTTGGAGGGAGGTACAGGTTTATATAACAGAGAAGAGAGACAAAGATCTGCCCCACAAGGTAGCTTGAGAGGCAAGGCTTGGAGGTAGAAATATGAGTGCTATATTTATGGACTGAAGATAAGGAACACAAGGAGGACAGGGCATCGTGATAGATAAATTAGGTGCAGATTCTGTTAGCTTCTAATGCAAGCAATTTGGCTTTGATTTGTGATACTAAGATTAATTTAATTCCATAGTGTAAAACCCAGGATCTTTTAGACATCTATAAATCTTACCTCCTCCCTGACTTGGTGGAAGAGGACTACCTTGTGCAGGAGATTGTCATAATCTTGGATGCGCTCTGTTTGTTTCTGATGGAGGTAAATAAGGTCACTCAGTTGTTGAGACTTCTCTTTCACAGGGGCTCCTTTGTCTCTTAATTCTTCCAATTCTCTCATGATGTACTGAACCTCATCACGCAGTTGCTAAAAAATTGAAAGCAATGCAAGAAATCCAGCTTTTTTTTTGTTTTGTTTTGTTTTGTTTTGTTTTACTACCAGCAATCTGATGATCTAAATAAGGACTCATTTGTTTACAAATACTTCTTATGTGCTTCCCCCTAATCCAGGCATTGTGCTTGCTGGTACAGGTGCATTTGTTCATCCTTATCTTCTCAGAAATTTATAAGCAATGAAAAAAAAAAGAAAGAAAGAAAGAAAGAAAGGAGGGAAGGAAGGAAGGAAGGAAGGAAGGAAGGAAGGAAGGAAGGAAGGAAGGAAGAAAGAAAGAAAGAAAGAAAGAAAGAAAGAAAGAGAAACGTGTCAAGGCTGAGTCCTGAAATGGAAAGCCGTGCATTCCTATGACCTACCACATATTTCCCCCATCTGTTGAGTAAATGTCTCTTAGATCCTTATGAAGCCCCATGATCAGCTCTGATATTTAATACAGACTAGAATTAAGTGGCACGGTAAGAACATCAAGAGAAGGCAAGTGTACAAATATATCAGGGGAATAACTTGTGCTCTCTGATAAAAGAATGATCAGAATGAGCCACCAGATGAACAGCAGAGTGAACATGCTGCTTCAAAGTGGCTGTCCCCTATCCACAAATAGCCACCACTGCACAGAGGATAATCTGCCTTCCCCTCTACCCAGCACTGTTCAGATGTCCTTCATAGGAACTGGATCTGGTGTAGAACTCATAAGAGTTGACAAAGAGAATGCTACTATAATTTGGGGGTGGATCTTATAATAAAGCTAAAAGTAATGGAAATGATTTAGGTTAAGGAAATGATTTTCTGAAGACTGACTTAAACTGGATCTTTAAGTTCAAATTAAGCATGTAGCCATCAAATCCCTGCACATCACAGTGACAGAGCCAGATGAGCTCAGCAGCGATTCCTGATTTAGAGGAACTTAGACATAAACATGTCTAGGCACACAAAATGCTATTGAGCATATATCATGGGGCATTTCAAGAAACCTAACATAGACTAGTCACATTTTCTGAGAGTTCTGATGAAAGAGTTTGCTGTGATATGTGTGTATAGGGAGAGTGGTTATATTTTCTTGTATATAAGTTTTGTCTTAAAGGAACCTTCATTCATCTGATTCTGGGATTCCTTAATGCCAACACTTATAAGTTTTGCAGTAAAAACCAAAAATCCAGGCCAAAGGACAATGGTACTGGCAACCTCTCCTGGCAGTTGCGTTCCATTTAGGAGCAACAGGGCTTGGGGAGCAGGGCATATGTTCAGCAGTCAGGAGCCAGGAACATGACTCATGGTTTTCTCTCTCCTTTGCTGAGGGCTTGCTGAAGGCTTTCTGAGGGTGAATAAAGAGCACAGCAAAATTCTTGGGGCTGTGGTAGAAGCTGGGTAGCAGCATGCGGGGACAGGGATAACTCAGGCGAGATTTCAGGGGACCAAGGGAAGCAGAGCCTCTAAGTTAGAAGTTGCCCATCCTTGTCCTGAGGCATCTCAATTTAAAACACTGCCTAAGAAAATAATTAGAGTATATATATGTGTATATATGTTTTTATATATATGGTAAAAATATTCAACTTTTGCTTCATAATGTAAATTAAATTGAGCTATAATGAAAACATATTTAGGACATTTCATGGCCTGGATGTTTGTATGTCATCAAATAGAGAAGCATGCAGGAAAATACTAAGAAAAACATGTCTTTACAGTGGATTTTTAGGTAAGCAGTGCTTTTGTTTAAAAAAAAAAAAAAAGATGTTTACCAGACTGTAAAAATTAATTAGGTAAACTTCAAACAGAATAAAAAATTTTCCCAGTCTCCCAAATCCATCAATCTACTTCTTCACCTGGAACTGAGGCTTCATTTCATTCCATTTTTTCCGCAGATCTGAAATGGTCTGGAGGCTCCCTCCAAGGTCAAGTGCAGACACAGGCATGAGTACTTCCTGAAGGAGTTTTACATTGTGGGTTGTCTGAAACAAACATTGGATAACCATGGGTGTGTTTTCTTGGACACCTGAGTAAACATCAGTGATCGTTCTAGTGATGATGTGGTGTGCCAATACACTTTTTAACTCTCTGAGACATCTGTGGTTTTAAATCATGAAAAGTCCTTGGTTTCTCTTGCTATTTTTTGCCTTTATAGTAGTAGTACATAATAAACATTTACCATCTTTACCACGTTTAAGTGTTCAATTTAGTGGCATAATACATTCTCTGTGAGCATCACCACCATCCATTTCCAGAACTTTTTCATCAACCTACCAGAAGTTCTAGGCACCTTGAAAAAGTGGAAGCACATAATACTTAGCCTCCTCACCCAGTTCCTTTCACTTACAGTATTGCTTCAGGAGCTCCATCATGGGTCGGTGTGCATCAGGATTAACTACCTGACTAAGGCTTAGTGACATTTCACATTTCCTTACCTTTCTGAGTTTCTCCTTGAACGCCGTCCACTGCTGCTTCACGGACTTGCTTTCAGTTCCTTTAAGTTGCCATGCCATCCGCAGGTGGCTAAGTTCTTCCCATCTAGCCTTCTGGTTTTCCAGAGTATTCTCCACAATGTGCACTTTATTTTTCACATTTAATATTTCACTCTCCTTTGTCTGTTAAAGGAATAATCCACATAATGACTTTTCTTTCCCAAGAGGCACAATTTTTTTTGCTTACAGCTATCTTAGGATGCAAAAATACTTCATCACAGCCAAAGCAAATCACCGTTCTGCTATTGGGACAAGGCTGAATTCCTTGTCCAGAGGCAGTGAGGCCATCAGAACTCAGATTCTATGCTTGCTCATTAGCTCCTGAATTCCTTTAAGACCCAAAAGGTGTTTGGAGTCATTAGCATATGTAGAATCTCAGCCTCAAGGGGTGGATTATTCAAGACTTCTGTTTATTCCTTTAAACTATCATATTGTGTATATTACAATTATTTTCCATTTCTCTCAATTTTCCCCATTTTGTCTGAACTGAAATGTGTACCTATATGCATTCATGATTATCATGCAGCAGAAGCACATTGTCTAAACTCCAAGACTTCACTTATCAACTTTCACATATGTAGCTGCCTGGCTTGAAACCCTCCACAGATTTTAAACAGAGGAAATCTAACTGGTGACAAAAGAATAATAGGGTAAAGCATAAGATTGTGTGCTTTGCTTCTGTGTAAACATAAAAAAGGCAGAGGAATATTTATTTTGTAAAACAATGATTTTTTTTTACTTCAATGGCCAGCTTTTCTCAATAAATTCTCAAATTTCTAATAGATTTCTGTAATCAAACTGACAGCGATTGACTATGTCATGAATATTCAAAAGTATTTCAAAAATAGGCCACCTTATCTTTAAATAATTTAAAATACATTCATAGTGGCCTTTTATATTTTTATATTATTTTAGACATCATGAAGTGACAATTAATTGCAAAACAATAACTACAGGTCCTAAGTGAATTTCTCCCATGAATGTGGGAATCTAGTGATAAAGTGTTGTATTCTGTAATTATGATTAAGAAAATATAAATTATGAAAGATATTGGACAACTACAGTGTTAGATAATTTAGAATAATTCTACATTTTGTTTTTATATATGCTATAATATAGTTAAGGTCTCTTTCACTTATTATTAAGAAACTATTAAAATATATACTCTTTTATTGAATATAAAATTTAATATAACCTGAAAATTACACCATGTCAATGACAACTACAATCAGAAGAATATGATGATCTGAACAACATCTAAGAAAAAGAATAATAGGCTTTGTTGATGAGCAGCCAGCAGGATCTAAGAAAGGTGATTTTGTATTTGGCAGACTTAGTGTTTTGACCACTCAGGAAGGTTAAATAATTTGCCTGCAGTCTAGCTAGTAAACAGGTGCTCATTTTACTTCTGTGAAGGACATGGAAAATTCTGCCATAATCCAGTCTAAATAGGCCACTAAATTATCCATTTTCCATTTATATTCATGCCCAACAAATGATCTTCTGATGTCTTGCTTTCCAGATCCTTAGTTATTGGAAGGCTGGTCTCAGTAGCATTCTTGGTATTCACTACTATAAATTAATAAACTGGTACTTTCATCTGCCAAAATTCTGACCTAAATCAATTTCTCTGATCTTGATAATTTTTAGATGAACTCAATTTTTTTTTTCAATTTCAAGCTTGAAAACATCAGCCACAGCAATATAACCAGCAGCAGAACCCTCAGGGCACAGGCCAGCTGGCCTTCCTCTCAAAGCCAAACAGTCACCATATTTCAACAATGTTTGTTTGAAAGTCTAATGGCCCAACAGATAAGAAGGGAAAAAGAATGTGTGTTAACTGCTTTACCAACAATTTCATATCTCATAACATCGCTAAATCAGTAACGTTAACTACTATGTGGAGTTTTATTTTTGAATATCAGTAAAGTAGAATTTATTTATCGTATAACAATAGAAAAGACTGGGTTAAAGTGACTGCATTTATGACTTCAAGATAAACTATGAAGATGTAGTAGTTAAAATGCACACTGTTTCGGGGAAACCTTAAGTGGGGGTTTAAATGTCACAACAATCCAGGTTTATTTAGATATAGATACAAAATATTATTTGGATTGGGTTCCTGCTGCAGATCTTTAAACACAAAAATCTACATGTACAATCTTAACTTTTCTAAATAAATAATGAAGGACTTCTCTTTCTGGGCAGGCTATAGTAACCAATGGGAGAGGAATGCTTCTGCTTAGAGAAACAAGAAAAGCTGGATAAAATGCAGAAAGCACCTAAGTGAAGAAGAAGACCATAGCAACAAGACCTAGAGAGGCTGAGACTCCAGCAGGAAGACCTCAGGTAGTGAGTTCACCTGTTCCCCACTTTCCCCCAGGGACAGTTCCCTGTTCTGTACAGGAGGTAGATGATCAAGGCTTTCCTGGAACAAAGGAACCATCAAGGAGGGTTTCAAGCACACAGATAGTCTTCTTCTTAAGGACCTTGACAAAATATTGGAGCCATACAGAACAGTGGATTTTAACACCTATGTAAGACACATCTGGAAAACTGGAGTTTTTCAGCTGTCACCCCAAACCAAGAATGGAGTTTGGGACCTGCCCCAGGCAGAGACATCAGAGAAAGGACCACCTTCTCAGTTGCAAACCCTGAAAACCCAAGGTGAACAGATGAAACTGAGCCTTACAGGATGGCATCACAGACAATTCCAGGCTTCTGATTGGCTTAGGCAATCTCTCACTCACACCTACCTGGAGAAAAGGGGCCCATTCTAGAAGATAACACCAATCAAAGCCCCTCCAGTTGTCTACACATCGTGCCTGGTACTTGAAAAATATTCACCCCAAAAGATAAGACTACCTAACTGGAAACCAAGAGAAAAAGCAGACGACTCCAGATGCAGATGATGGTGTTAATGGAATACTTTAAAACTCCTGTGATTAATATGGTTCAATAAAATATGGGAAAGATAAAGAGAGGATGAGAAAGAGAATTTCACCAATAATTAAATCTCACTTTAAAATGAACCAACTGGAAAATCTAGAACTGAACAATAAAATTTATGAAATGCATTTAGTAAAGGATAGATACCAAAGGTGTTTGCAAATATATGCTGTCCAAGGGCAAATTGGAAACATATCAAGAGATGAAAGACTATATACTGAACCAAGTAAAAATGCAAACGATCAGAGATTGGTGTTTTAAATGTTCCAGATGAAAAGTAGCTTGAATTTTTTTTTAATAAAACATCTGTGTAACATAAGAACACAGGCCAATAGCTTATCAAGGTTTTTTTTTTTTTTCCTGAGGCACAAGGAGAGTATAAAATAAAATTACAACTATATAATGCATGTTATTTCTGTTTCCACAACGGGTTAACAATAATGATCTTCAAACTACAAGAGTTGAAGCAAAGAAAATAAAGAGATGATTTTAGGTCAAAGTAGATTAGGGTAGTTAAAACCTAATTTGTTCAGATAAATTCAGACTCCAGATTGAGATTAATCATGTCACAAGGTATGAAGAAAATTATAAATGTCAGTAATCTTTAAAAATCTACAGAAACTAGAAGGTTAGATAATTCGAGAAAAGAAAATGCCTCATTTTTTTAAAAAAAGGAAAAAGGATGGATTACACAATTTAAAGACTGATAAATTTCACATTAAAATCCAGTGCAATAAATTCATCACTTATCAAGCACTTTGTGAGCATTTTTTAAAGCTTAATCACTAGCATCAGTTTGATTTGTGTAAAATAATTTTTATGTAGTTCACTGGGTAGGCCTTCTTTTGAGCAAATACTTTGAGAAAAGTAACTTGTTATAAAATAACTCATTCCCATTATAAAAAAATTATGAAGTCGTGATTGAATTAAAATACAATTGGAACATTGATGATTGTTTAAAAAACTGGTTAATCAATAGATTGTTTTATGAATGAGGATGGTGATCTGCCTTTAGGCATTATTATTAAGGCAGTAATTACAGCCATAAAAGGCTTAATTGTCAAATCTACAGAATAAAACACAGGAGAGATAGCTAATATAGGTTCAAATTAGTTTAACAAGATGGAATCATGGGTGAAGAACAAATGAAATCAAATAAGAACAAACATTTAGGCCCACATCTGCATGAAAAAGACAAATGGTGGACATAAACATACATGGGAGAAATCTGGCTTAGATACAGTTGCAAGAAAATGTTATGAGAGTTTTATTCTATTACAAGCTTAATATGAAAATAGCAAAGTAAAGTTATTGGTAAAAATGTAGTATCATATTAGGTCTCACTAAGAAAGAATGATGGTCCATTTCACCGTGCTCTGTGCTACAGTTGTACTTCACTTCTTGGTCATACTTAATCAATAATTTTAACAAATGGCAGAAAATTCTGGAAAGGAGAATTGGAGAGAAAACTAACTCGTAAAAGATTTGTATATGTTTAGCTGCAGAAAAGGCTCTTATTAGATACAGCAATTATTTTCAGTGTGGGAAGGACATTCAAATATAAGAGAAATTGAATATGGATACTTTTTGACCTTGTTTAGTTACAGAAAGCTAAGACAGATATGAACACAGATTTATTTAACATTTTTTTTTAATCACAGTTTTCTAACAGCTGGCATTTTCTAACAATGAAATCAGCAGTTTTCTTAGGAAGGTATGTGAGGTACTGAAGGAGAGGAGGATTAATCATCTTTTAAAAAAGAATTTTTTAAAAAAAGAATAGGGACCTTCATATGAGTCATAGTTGGACAAAAGGATTCTAGGATATTTCATAGATATGCTCATGACAACTAAAGAATGATGGTATATTTCTAAATGCAAAGGAGCTTCATTGTGAAAAGATCTGCTAAGGTAAGAGATTCTTCAAAATGAAGATTCATCATAAAAGTTGTCTGTAGCCAATGAAATTTTGTAAGGACCTGGTTATGTGCTCTCCACAGAACTCAGACCTTTGGGGTAGACTTCTGAGTCTATGTAATAACAATGTTGCAATCTCATTATAGTCATCTTTCTTCTTAATAGTTAAAAGGGCCTTCTTGATCCAAATTAACAAGAACTCAAAGCATATAAATATTGGATTTCAGAACTGGTCTAGATTGAATGAACTTCTAAAACCAGCGCAGCTGATTAACAGGTGAACTTTTGAATTTATGATTCTGACTTTGATGAGTAATCCTTGCAGAAGATGTGACTCCTTTAATGACATTCTCACCATTTGTATTAAATTAAGGAAGTCAAGTCCTAGGTCTTGGGTTAAAAAACTCTTCTTCAAAAATAGCTGCCACTGCTTCTCAGCCGAGTCAGACCAATGCTTGATTTTCACATCCTCCTTCTCCTCCCAAAGGATTTGAGTTTGATAAAATTCCTTCAGGTTCTGAAATTGCTCTTCTACCTAAAAAGGAAAAGATAAATTCTCTTATAGCATTCTGTTTTAAGAACACTTTAAAACAGAAAAAATGAACAGAAGATTCCAGTAAAAACCCAGGTAAAAGTTAAATTGAAACCACACTTTCAGAATTCTTTAAATAATTTTGAATATTATCAACTAACTGAAAAAACAGAAGAAATCTATTTAGATTGTTGACATACAGGACTACCACTGGGTGGCAAATTGAGTGGACAAGTTTTTAACCCAGAAAAACATTTATCGTAGCCAAAATCATTTTAATGTACTACATATTAGAGTATATTTCACAATTTAGGACAATTTGTGTCAAAGACTAGGTATTTCAGTTTCAAGCAGCTTGATAATTCAGAAGAAAAACACATATAGAATCAGGGGCTACAAATCATAAATAAACATAAATTAATAAAAGATTATTAGTAATTAGTATATCGCCAGTGACTTCTTTATTTTTTTGTATTTTGGTACCAGGGATTGAACCCAGGGGCATTTAACAACTGAGTCACATACCCAGCCCATTTTATTTTTCATTTTGAGATAGGGTCTTGCTAAGTTGCTTAGGGCCTCACTAAGTTGCTGAGGCTATCTTTAAACTTATAATACTCCTGCCTCAGCCTCCCAAACTGCTGGGATTACAGGTGTGTACCACCACACATGGCTTCATCATTGATTTATAATCAATGATAAACCAGAATAAAGAGGCACAAATCATTCCTAATTTTCTGAATGGATTTTAACATTAAGTACATTCATGAGATAATTTTATTGATATGTTACTTTGCCCCCCACCCAGAATTATATTTTCTCATTTGCCAGTCAATGTAAGCAATATTATTTTAAATTAGTCTCCTTGCAATGAGTTTATATAATATCAAGTGTGTAACTATAGATTAACAAGTAATTGGATGATGTAGAAATAGTAGAAGTTATTTGACATAGATTTTTATGCATCTTGAATACTTAATGGCTAAAAAACAAGACTCAAAGAGCTTTTAACTACCAAAAGTAATCCAAACAGAATAAGAACTGTCATTCAATAAGTCACCACATTTTAAAAGATTTTTTTTAACTTATTCTCAATTTGAATGAACTTAATTAGAGAGTCTGCAGATAGCTTTCAGAAACAGAAGTTCTCTCCTGGTTCCATGTGCCATTTATTCACATTTCTGTTCTGCTGGTGCTTGTTCAGCTCAGGATGAGTTTTTCTCAATTTTCTTCTCCTATTTATTCTTCATGAGCTAGTTAAAATGCTACCCCTCCATGGAGCCCTTTGAGATTCCCTAGTAGGAATTAAGCATGTATTTTCCTGGATACTCAAAGAAAGTTCTGGGATAAAGAGACCAATATTCAAACCACAACATGAAGATAGATGTAACATGATGTTATGGGAATGCTCAGGAGAGATCACCACCTGTGTACAGAGTAAGTGGGGAAGAACTTCCCAAAGGAAGTGATGTTTGATCTGGGTCTTGAGGAGCTGTCCAGAGTGAGAGGTAGTAGAAAGGGATCCCAGGTGGAAGGAAAAGGAGGCATAAAAGACCAAGCTGGAAAACAGCGACTGACTCAGAGAATGATAAATGATGTTAAACCGGGTGAAGTTCAGGTTGCCCAAGCTCAGAGGTAAGAAAAGAGGCTATGAGGTTAATTGTGCTGGAACAAAGCCCAGCAGCAAGATTCCATTTGTTTTCTACTGAAGCCACCATGACTGTGGCACATTCTTATTTGTCTGAAACAACTGATAGCTCCCCCTATGACTCAGAATTGGCACTGCAATCACCTGGCTTCCAGAGGGTCAACTGCTATGCGCTACTTGTCAAGATGATGGGTAGCCAGTTATGTGCAATTCTCAAAACAAGCTTTAATCCATCCTCTTTATCAATAACTCAAAAAAGGCTTGAATGTAAATGAGAACATTGCCATTATAGGAATTCACTTATATCTGTAATAGTTTATTTTTAAGTGAATTAATAGTAAACATTATTACATCCATTTTTGGTAGAAAAAAATTATTTGCATCTTGCTTCACTAATTACATGTGAAAAATTACTTGACTTTCAAGATGATGAGGAATGTGGGAGAAGGGGAGCTCACAGATCTTTCAGGTTCTCTCAACAGACAGACACAGGAGAGCACAGCCTTTGAAAAGGGGAAAACAAAAAGAAGGCGATTAAACTTCAGCTTTGATGTTTAGCAGATGTTTGATATGAATGCCTAATTTTTAGAGTCTCAGTTTTTCTCACTTGCAAAATGATAATAATGGTAAGTAACTAAAACATGGCAGTTTGAGGATGAAGTAAAATCAGGAGTGAAAAGCATGGGACCTGATACAAAATTAATGTTTATTAGAACTGGAAAAGACACTGAAGCCAGGATTGTCCACAGATGTACTCAGAGGCTCTTCTTGGAGGAGTTGGGATATTCTAAAACTGGAGTGCTATCATATTTGCACAACTCTAAATATACTAGAAATCATTTCACTATAAAATTGTCAATTTTATGCAAATAAATTATACCTCAATAAAATCTAGTTTTAAAAAAAAAGTCAAAGGACATGAGAGTGGGTCATGAGGTTAAATAATTTCAATGGAACAAAGCCTGAAAGTACACCACTTCATCTGTCCACTAGTAGGTAGCCTATAAGAACATTTTTTTTCAGTGGAGTGAAGAGATGGCAAACAGTCAGGGTTGAAAAGGGAAACTGATTTGCAAGGGGATGAGGACTAAGGAGGAAAGGCTAGTAGGAGCAAGGAATGCCAACCTCCCATTCCAAAACCGTGCATGTGAAGGAAAGTCAAATGACAGAGAGAGAGCCAAGGAGAGGACACGACTATGACAATACAACTATAGACCACAGGAAGCCTTGGAAAGAGGCAATTTGAAAAATTAGAGGATGGCTGCTAGAGCTAGTTCCAAAAAAACTTAAGAGTATATAGGGAGGGACTGGTTACTAATAGGGCTGAACAGGAATTGGGACATCACTTTATTGGAACCAGTGGACAATGGGTGAATATGTCAATAAGTTTGGAAGTAGAAGGAAGTCAAGACTGTGAGGCTCAATGGCCTTATTTTTTCCCAGTGTATGATATGTAAGGACAATGGCTGAGATTTAGGGGTGGGAACTGGGATAAGACACTTGAAGACCACTATTGAATGGGAATCAACTAGGCAGCATATGGGGGACCCAGCTGAGGTTGAGACCCATAAATAGCTCCAATCAGCATGACTGTATGATTTTGTGTAGGAGCGTCTGGAAGCTTGGAAAGAGAAGATGAGTAAACAGATGTTGGACTGATCTAGTATTGGGAGTTGGCAGGGTTACTCTGGGTGGAAGGCAGGGAGTTCAGAGGAGGAAGAGTGGAATGGAAATGAGTAACCACAACCCAGGGAAGCAAAAAGGAAAAGCCAGAGGGGGAGGGAGGAACAGACCAGAGGCCTTGCCAGAATTAGAAGGATGGAAGGCTCTGCCAGAGAGGGAAAGTGACATAGTGTAAGCAGGGAAACTGAGGGACATTATATTCTTCTGGGAAACAGGTATCTGCAAAGCTGAGGCTCCAGCCCTAGAGAAGCTCCTGGTCCCCAGGGCCAGAGTGGGCTGTGAAAGTGATTGCTTAATGTGAAGCCAGGGAGGAATTGTTTTGACAATGAAGATGTAACAAGAAGTGTTTCATTGTAGCTTCTCTTCCATTTTGAGTCCTGAACAAAAATGTTCATCCACAGGATAATTCTAACAGTCATAATGTCTCTTCAAACTGGGGAGTTTAGGGCCAAGAACTAAAAAGAAGTAAGAAATGACCAACAGTTAAGGGAAGATGTGGAAAAGGACAGCATGGGTATCTGATATTTCTAGGTACTGGACATGAGCTCCCCCCACCCCCACCCCCCGCCCAGTAGTAAGAATTTAGATCAGACAGAGGAGACCTGTGTGAGCAGGAAGGTGGGGATGGGTGTTGAGAGTGAGGGTGTTAGAAGTTTAGAGATGAGAAAATAGAAATTGAGCATGAACCTTACCCCTGAGAGGACCTTGCTGGTTCTGGCTCCCACGAAACCAGAACCTGTGTTCCTGAACGCAAGAGTCATCTGCATTGGCACAGGGTGCACAGTTCTCAGGGGTAAGTGAGGTAGATCCAACATTTTTCTATTACTGATGCCATCTTCAAAGAAACTGACCTTTCAGAGATGAAATCCTAGTGCACTAGAGGGAATGTTAGAGATATCTGGTATGGCCTTGTMAAAAAAAAAAAAAAAAAGCCTCAGAAGAATCTAAGAGAGGTAACTTATTAAAAGGTATCCAACAAGACAGATGACTGATTGAAGCAATGGCCTGTAATTTCCAATTCTATATATTTTAAATGACCCACACTAACTGCTCAGTATTCAGATTTAGGTGGTTTAGAAAGTGACTATTTTCAAATAATTTTGTACTATGCTAGATTATGGTAAATATGGATAAGACATAGTAAATAATGTTGCAATACTTTATTGGTGCATACATCTACATGTACACATTTTTAAAAATGAAACAATTTGCTCTTCAAGCCTTTGTATGGTGCATTGAAGAATAAAAAGCCTGTAAGTGAGGGCATGTACTGGGCAGAAGATAAGGAACTACCTGTCAGGGCAGAGTATTGATCCCCATAGAAAACAGGAGAAAGGCAGAGGTCACCTTGTCAACACATCCTACTGTACCTCCTCTGATGACTTTAGAAATGCTATGTAGCTTTGCAGGACTTGTGACCTGGAGGTGATGCTCTGGCCAAGTATGTTTAATTCTTCCTCTAGCCATTGAGCTTTAAAAGAAAGCGATGCTACTTCATCAGATTCAAATTCATTTTTCTCCAACATGGCTTTTACAGCTGCTTCCAGTGCCTGTGATGTCTCCTGTGAAAACAAAGTACAAGAGGTCAGAAGCCGACAGGGGAATCATGAACGTTCACATTTCATTAGCCTTCTGCACATCCATCTATTACGATTATTAATTGAATTTGTCCTGAGAATTTACTCAACAAAAGAAAGGCACAACTTTTCAAATTCCAAAAAGAAGAAAAAAAGGCACTTAAAATGGAAACCATCTCAAGTCGCTCCTTGGTTCTATCAGCTACACTTCTCATTTAGAATATTCTATTTTCTGTGTCACAAATAGCAGGAAGGTTGTTTCATATAAAGTTTGTGAAACAAAAATGGCAGGAAAGTTTTAAGTAATTTAAGTAAAATAATTATCCATGAGAATTGCTTCATGAAATTTAACAATAGCTCTAACAAATTCATGGGCTAATTTTATTAAATGAGATGACAAGTTTGCAAAACTTGTTCATTCCTTCTTAATTTACAAAAAATGGCATATCAATTATGCAGTCTTATTCAAATGCCTATATAGAAGTATTCTTAAACACAGGTAATGTACATATCAGATCCGAACAAACCAAATAATTGATGAATTTAACTTGCTTAGGACTCTTTCTTCTTCATGAAATTTCTGGCTGGTGGACTCTTACTATTGATTAAATGGATCAGTAAGTATTGTAGGCACTACCTACAGTCATTTGCCACATAACAATGTTTCAATGATGGATTGTATATATGAGGGACAGTGGTCCATTTAGATTATAAAGGAGCTGAAAACTTCCTAGTGCCCAGTGATGCCACAGCCATTCTGGATGGTACCACACATTTCTCATGTATCTGTGGTGATGCTGGTATGAACAACTCTACAGCACTGCCAGTTGTATAAAAGTAAAGCACATACCATTATGCATAGTACATAATACTTGATAATAAATTACTGCTACTGATTTATGTATTATTATACTATACTTTTTATTATTGAGAATGAACTCCTCTATTTATGTAAAAAAAAAAAAACAAGTTTACTGTAAAACAGTGTGCCTCGTTACACTGCCAGCAGCCTCTCAAATCTTGTGTTCACCACATCTCTTGATTGCTCCAAGAAGCCATGTCAAGCAATTGACCTATTCCATTTAGGACTGTGGAGCACACTCTGTAATGTTCATACAACAAAATTGTCCAGCAGTACATTTCTCAATACCCCCCATGGTTAAGTGACTCATGACTGTACAATTGCCATAGGAAAAGCCATGTAAATTTCCATGTGAGAACAAGCTAAGAATCAAGGAGAAATGGGAGAGAAAAGCTTCATTTTCATTTGCAGAAGGAAGCATTGCTTCCCTTCATGTGATTAATATGCTTCCCATGTGCTCCACTGAATGAAGGTAATTTTAATTTACAAGCCCTTTTTCATGGTAGCACTCTGGGAAGAAGAGAAGCATGGGATTTCTCCCCATGAAATCTCTTCCCTGCTACTAAAGTTTTTGAAATAAAAACATTAACATATAAGGGTTACTTTAGACCTTAAATAATAAATTCAAAGTACTCCATTTAAAAACATTGGTGTGTCTGAGTTTTGGGTGGGGGCCATCTGTGAAGAGGGCTCTTCTGCTAAAAACTGGAGTCCCAGGGCTCTTGTTGAGGACCTGGGTGAGTTAGACTTGACTCTCACGTTAGACTTGACCTGCAAGCCCTGCTGTGCAGGCAGAGACTTCACTAAAGGTTTGGGGCTGCTGATAGGAATCATTGAACCCAAGTTCCATGAGAAAAAGCAGGAGGGTGCTAAAGAAGGTGCTGAGGCGGGGATGGGGCACTTCTACCTGAATGCTGAGAGCCATTGCCTCCTGGAATCTTGCAATTATGCATGCTCCTTCTGATGATTTTCTTTTGTGACATACTCTAAGCAGAAAATCACACACACACACACACACACAAACAAACAAACAAAAAAAACCTGTAGAGAAATACCTCCTTTGGAACCCACAAAAGGAGTTGCTAACATGTTTCAGGAAAGGAAAAAAGCCAAATGAGTATTTAATACTAGGCTGTAATATTGAGTTTCAGTGAGCTTAAATGCTCTAATAAATGCACATATAAATATAAATAATTTAGACACACATAATAGTATGAGTTTTTAAGTCATTATTTGATACATACTAATCTAGAAATGCATCCCTTAAGAGAGCTAAAATTAAGTTTTAGAGCTATGGAACATTTTAAACATAATATTTGCAAAATCAGAGCCATAATAATAATTCTTATTTTACTTTACCTTAGCTTGCATATCTAATTCCAGATATTTATTTAAAATCTTCTCAGATTCAGAAAGACTGGAACCAATATCCATTGCATTGGAAACAACTGGAATGATTTTCTGAATTGACATATCCACCTTTAGAAATAAAGAATATATTGCAGTCTTAGTAAATATATTTTCAAATATGGATGCATATATATAAAGAAAACAAATACTGCAGTATATATTCTTATTGTGCTTTAAAATATATAAAATTTAATCTAAAAGAGTTTCAAATACTTCAGCCCTTCATATCTTAATAATGCTCCTCTTTCACATGAAGTAAGACTAGTAACCCACCAACAGAGGGTATATGATTAAGGATATTTCTTTTATTAAGAGCAATGAGATATCATCAATAATTCACATCCTCTCAGAACTTACTATCTACATTACCTACAAAGGATGATAATACACTTGCAAATTTATCAACAGAGTTGAATTTATCTGTTAAGTTGAATGAGACCAATTTACAGGCACATTTTGAAATAAAATCCAGAGCACAACTTATGAGACAATCCAGAGACGACCCTATAGGTTGCTGCCTTTAGGAATGAAGCATTCTGGGGAAGCACCAACCCCTGCACATGTAATAAACACAGGGACATATGTGAATCATTCAATTGAAGAACTTGGGGAATTGTGACTTGATCTTTGGTACGCATGAATCAATGGATAAAGAGACCCTTGAAGGGCTCCATTCCATTCAAGTTACTTCCTTCATTCCCTTGCTCGATCTAGAGTCCACACATCCCTCAAACTGGCTGTGAATTGGCAGTAAGACTAGTAGCCAACAGCTGTTTGAATTCCAACAGTGTTTTCCACTTCCACCAAATTAGCTTGTGTCTCAAGCTGTAGGGAATGAGGAACCACAGCTGCTCCCCTATTTAGACTCTCCCTGGACTCAATCATCAGAACAAGGCTCACATTCCCGAATGTTTGGATAGATAATAGAAGGAAAGGTAATTTAAAATAGAGACATTGTTATTTAATGTCTTCTGTTGCAAAACATACTAATTATACTCACTTAAGTTCAAGATCGCAAGTCCACTGTATAATGAAACCATCATTGAAAATTTGAGACCCAGCCTCTGCAGCAAAGTTCATCAGCATTAGTATTACTGGGATATCACTAGTTTTTACTGTCTATGCCAAGCCACAGAGAATTTTTAATTTAGTCAATATGTGGGTTCTTATCCTTATTCCCCTTTGAAAATAGGAAATGTTTCTATAACAAGCCAATGTATTCATTTTTCCATCTTTTTTTATGCAAAATGACTGTATCTCTTGAAATGGTCTGGTTCAACGAAGCATGGTAATGTTAATTTATTCCCAGAAAAACCTAAAACCATTATTTCTAGTGTCTATCTATCCATGTATTCATCTGTCTGTAACCCTCACATTATATGGTGCCATGCTAACATATGTGCATATTGGAACCATACACAGAACCACATAAAGGACCTTATTCTGATGTGTATGTGGTTCAGTTACACAGAACTGTGCAAGGTGAGAGCTACCTTGTGTGTATACAATCAGGCTAGAGGTGGCATATTGTATTAGATACCTGTTTTTGCATGATATGATGATTCACGAGCAATAGTGAGTTATGAGTGTTTGGTCAGTTGTAGGACCTCATGTGGCACATGACAGAAGCTAAAGGAGACACACCTGTAACCCTCTCCACGTCCACACATGGCAGTCATAATACCATCTACAATCAACAATTTAGAAGTTTTAGTTTCATTGCATGAAACTACCTTCCTTAGATGATTCTCCACGGAGGCTGTTAATTGCTGCTTCTTAAGAGCAAATTCCTTGTGCGCTGAACACTGTTGGGTCAACTGGTCCACTCGTCTCTGAATGTGTCCCATCATCTCATGGACGCCTGTCACTCGAAAGCTGAACAGAGAAAGCCAGCTGTTAGTTCACTCAACCCAACACAAAAGTCCCAGGAACAGGGAACATTTGAAAACAGTTCTGCTTCCTTACATTAAGTACAAGTTAGCGATAGTCATCTGCTTTAGAATAATAGTAGTTATACTGGTCTACTATTATTCTAAAGCAGATGACTATCGCTAACTTGAATAATAGTAGTTATACTGGTGGGGCAGAGAGACAACCAAATCATGTTCCTTTGTTTTAAATCAGTCAGTCCTAAAGGAAAAGATAAGTTATGGGTTTTTGCAAGAGGTCTTGTCCTCTTTTGAAAGGTTTACTTTTTAATATTTCTCTAAGATATTTTAAGAACCATATGGCAAAAGGCACAGCATGTTAGCCAAGAGTTTTCCTGAGGGTATTATTTAAGAGGTTCATTTAACTAAAGATGTTCTTTTTTTATTATTTGTTCTTTTCAGTATACATGACAGTGGAGTCTATTTTGACATATTACACATACATGGAATATAACTTATTCTAATTAGGTAAAGATGCTCTTTGAACAGAAATATATATCAGCCATTTAACAAAGCATTTACTAACCAATAGGATAAAATATTTATATAACAGTAAGGCCCTTGTTCTTAATGATTCTGAATACTCATGGCTAGACTTGTTAGATGAGAACTAAGTTATCACCAACAATTAGGTATCAAATACACTTATGCATAAAAAAGAAACCCACTCTCACATTGTCATTTTCTTCTCTGGTCTTGTGAAACAAACAAACAAAAAAAGCCACACAAGAGCTCATAAAATGAAAATGCCTTTGAAACAATGAATGAACTTGGAGTTGGACATCTAAACAGGTTTCCAAACCAGTTCCAAGTTGGGCACACCAACAAGGCAAGACAAAGGAAGAACACTGTGGATGGAATGAGCACTTTTAAATCTTTACCTCTATCCCTAAAAGAGGACCTGGCCTACTATTTAAGAAGTTAAAGTCATTAATTCCTATCAGTCATTTCCTTCAAACACTAATAAAGATTAATATGATGACTCTTAAATTTAATTACACAGAGTTAAAAAAAAAGATCTTTGAACGAGGTACAGATTTCAGTAATTTTACCTCAAATAATTAATTTATGGCTCTGTAAAAATGAATTTAATTAGTAATGAAATGAGGGCAAGATCCCAAATGGCTAAGAGGTGAAAGTAATCTCACTGGAATGACAATGAGGCTGCTATAAAGGAGGGACACATTCAGATGTGTCCTGTGGGCACCACAGGGGCCCCAGACAAGTGTAATTGGGGGAAATATGGATCCATTGCAAGAAGTCTTATTCCTAGCACATAATGTTCCACAGACATCACACTTGGAACAATTAGTTTTGCATTTGAATACTCAGAGACAGTGAAGAATATAATCAAGTCATCAGGAGAACTTTAAAAGTAATTCTTAATGATACTTATATCCATGAATTTTGTGGAAGCAGTGTACTGGTAATCCTAATCATATTTGACTAGGTTTTAGACTGAGACACAATTTGCTAAAAAGGCACTTAAAAGCTCAGCTGTCCTATACTCTACTGGTTCCAAGTTTTCTGTGAACACGAAAATCTGGAATGAGAAAGATAAAGACAATAAAGTGGCACTGTGAAACGGTACAAAGGACAATGCTTATAAAAGGAAACTGGCAAGCATGTAGCAAGGAAAGATAGCTTAGAAATGGTAGAAAATGCCGTTGCTAAAATAAAAGGAATTTGGAAATGATTAACAAAATTCGGAAAGAGTAGAACTTGAAAAAGAATTGCATCAACCAAGATGAAAGAAGCTACTCCTACTTCTGGGTGGCCTTCTGTGGTCCCCCAACAGAATGCACTCTGCATCCACTGCAGACAGGGCCTATCTTACTAACCAGATTTACAATGGGGGCCTGTGGGACCCAAAGAAGGTAGCTTGGAGTTAACTACAATTTTTTAATAGGCTGCTCCCTGGGGGAAACCAGTCCTCAGTAACCAGGTCCAGCCAAGCCTCTTGATTCTTGTTCACATCACTTCTTTGTACTTTGGCCATCTCTGAAGAATATAGGTGGCAGCCAAATCTGGGACTTATCCATAAGTCCCAGTCAGGGTGTTTCAGGTACCAGGGCTCAGACCCACTCTCTGATTCTAACCCAAACTTGCTCTAATATCCCCACTCCTCCTGAATTCCCCACCTGTGTCCCTATTTTGCATTTCAATCATGGTGCTCTGATTCTGTTCACACTAAACCAGTCTCCTCTTTGGCCATTTAAATCTATAAGGAGCTCCTTCTCCTCTAAAGTCATGACACCCAATTGTAGAGTACAAGGCAAGTATGTACTGTGATTCTGACAGCTTTGCATGTAATTTTAATAACAGCCACTACTTAATAAATTCTTGTAACAAACATGTCTCTTCGAAAGGTACCGATAACTCAAAATTTTTAGACAATGTGATCGAAGCTCCAGAGGTGAGATAATTTGCCCTACAGACACACAGCTAGTAAGTAGGAAACACCTGACTTAAAGTCAGGTTTCTTAAATACCCAAATATATACACTTATTATATTTAATTTTTTGAATTAATGACTAATTTAATATCTTAATTTTAGAAGATTCAGATGATACTGGTTTTGTTTTTACCATAAGATACTATAATTATAATTAATAAAAGTCATTATTGAAATCTTACTGTGATAAGGCACCATTCTTAATGTCTCTAATAGTGCCTTTTCTAATTATTCAAAGACCCTACCCCATATGTTTTTGAACTATAATCACTATCCTCATTTTACTTATGGGCAGACTGAGAATAGATGCTCAGTAAGTTGACCAGTTATGAATTGGCAGAGCCAAGATTTGTTCATCAATCTCAGAGTTCACACTCTACCACTTTACAGTACCTTATCTGAGTCTGTGACACATGACATGGGGTGAGGGGCATTTTTCCTCTAGAATTAACTTTCCTTTATTGGCTATCATACAAACAGCCTAGGCCTGGCTGACGAGCTCTTGAAATTGGCTGGCTTCTCAAGGTAATGCAATATCTGCCTGTTGTTTTCAAAGTGGCCGCTAGAGGGGCGTGGTACCTTGTCCAAATGACAGGTCTTGCTGGTGCCTCCAGCACAGAAAATGGAACGAGGATAACAATTTAGTGGAAATAGGAAATAAAATGTTCCTTCAGTTAAAAATACTGTTTTTTTTAAGCAATGTACTATTTTAATTTAGATAAACCATAACCAACCAAATAGAACTCTTTCTGCTTTTGTTTTTCAATGACCTAGGAGGCTCTGTTTTATTTTGTGGTGATTTGTTACTTATAATGCACTCTATTAATTACATTGTAAATTCATTAAGTGGAAAAGATGGTATCTTATTCTTTCTTCTATCTCTTGTAGCCCTGAGCATATAGACTTATAAGTAGCAGATTAATGCACAATTTAAAATTAAATAAAGTACAGTCAGATCAATATTTAAGTGAAGAGAATATATAGATTTAAGGATGGGAAAACATATATACACAGTTACCATATTTAAAATATCACTGATAACAGTGACCAATAGTTTTCAAATAATGATGGCTTTGCACTTTTGGCCACTTACAGACGTCAGGCTTGTCTATTTATTCTTTTTTGCTGTGCTAATCAAACCCAGGGCCTTACACATGCTAGGTAAGCACTCCACCATTAAGCCACGCCCCTGGTGACTTTAGACTGTGTAAAGACTGCCTCATTTCTTCTCTGGTATGCTTTAGCATTTATAGTTGGATTTAACTGAGTTTGTCATGTATAGTTTGGTTCATCTGATACTTACTCTCATCTATTTATAGCCTTAGGAGAAAAGACTAAATTCTTCTGCTATGCAGTATTACCTGTCCATTATTGCCATCCTACTTGTGACCTATCCTCCTTCCTTGGTATGAGAAGATCCCAATCATCCTTCTCACCTTAACTAGTTCCTTTTTCTCTCTATATCCCATCTAGCTCATCTCTGAATGATTGGTAGTAATCTCTTCCTTTTCCCCAATTTATCAGTTGGCATATACCCATCCAACTCCTAGTCTCAGAGCTACTATGGTCTTTTCTATTCTTCCTCAGTAAAACCTTAATCTGCAGATTATAACCAGCCCCTATTCTAGGCCTGATCATTTTCAGGTAGAAAATTTATAGGCTTGATTCCAGACTCTAATTTTCACCATTCTAAAACATTTTTAAAACATGCATAGCATACATATTGGCAATTTCCTCAGTGCCTGAAGAGCAAATGGCTTGATCAAAGGAAAGATCTGACTTCACAATTTGCCAGCAATTCTTATGTGAACTGAAAATAAAGAAATAGAATTCCATCTGTCACCAGCAATGAGTTCTGTTACTTCACAGTCACATTAAATTAATGATGGGACAAGGACTGATGGTGAGTAACAGAAATGTGGTAGAACAAAATATGGTACCCTGTTACCCTGTTCTGATTCTGAAGCAACATTGCTTATGTGCATCTGATTGGGAGTTGGAGGGGCAGGGGTTAGTCCAGATCTAATCACCCATGGCCTATGATATGCATTGGACTGACCTTTGGGCTTTCCCTGTAAGAAAGGATTAAGTTGTGCCTATCAGTAGCACGGGGTGCATCAGATTATTCCTGATGTTGACTTTGACTTTCTAATACTCAGAAACAACAGACTGTGGAGGCTTCCTTCGACATTTGTTAGAAGCTCCATACTGGGAGCCAACAGAGAGAAAGGAAGGGAAAAGAAAAACGATTTTTTTTTTTCTCTCAAGAAGCAAAGACACATTGACTTCTGGTTCAAGGATAGGCTGTTCTATTTACTGTAGGAAAGCAGTTGCCCTATCTTATCTGTCACAAATCAGGGCAGGGGAAGGAACAAATCCCAATGTTAATATGTTCTAATGATTCTTTCTGGAAAATGACAACTTACTTTCACCCCTTTCATAAATTACTATTGGCAGCCCATCTGGATTAGGAGCTAAACCAGATGGTAAGT